AAAAAATGTCCAATGTTAATTCAAATAAGAATTTAACCATCATAGAAGAGGAACATTAAACTAAGCAAAATAAAATAAACGCATTAAAACATTTAATTGAGCATAAAAAAAACTTTACTAACACCATTTATAGTATAGTAGGCTTTGAAATAGAATGATCAGAGGGTTTGGATCGGTTTTTTTTTTATTGCAAGCCATCAAAAATTCAACTACATGAGTCAGTTTCTTCCACACAAGGAACAAGGAACAATGCTACACTCTACTAGTAGCCCTCATGATTCCAATGGCCTATTTTTTGAAGAGAAAAAGTACCCATCCTTTATCACAAGTTCTAAATAATGCAAAGAGCTCTTCCATCTCCTGCTTTTAAATGTTTATTCTCCTCTCTTAATTCAAAACCTGGTTACTAGCTGCTAATGAACACCTGAGGTTTCTCTAGTATATCCATGTGTTCCCAGCTTTGTTCATCCCTTGGAACTGTTGAATTATTACCTTTACTTCCCTCATCTGAAGTGCAAGCAAAGTACGAGGGCAAAGTCACTGAAAGCTCCCACAACCTATTGAATTATTAAAAAGCACAGTAATGAGGAGCTTGCTTCTTTTTGCATTTTGGGAAACTCCTGGTTTTACAGGTTCCAAGAATCTAATGTTTCTGAGTTCAGAGTAATGACCAATAAGTAGTTTTACTGATCGGGGTTGAAGACTAAGCTATACAATTAATTCTGTTTATCCTGAGACAAGAACATAATGGAGGGACTAGCAATACATGAGGAGCCAAAGTAACGCCCTTCTCTTTTTGAGAATGATATCCATCTCCGACAGCAAATATAAAAGCAGTTGAAACAAGATTTCATGGGCCTCTATTCCCACAGCTTTTTCTGGGCATCAGATTTGATCACCATTGTAAAACATTCTATGTCAGTAGCTTGATCACTCTAAAAAAATAGGGAAAAAAAAAAAAAAAAAAAAGAAGAAAGAAAGAAGAAAAAAAAGATCCCAAACCTTTTTGTTCTGTGTAATTTAGAAAGTAGACGTAGAAAGAGTTAGTTTTGTGGAAGACATTTTGATGTGAATCAGACAGCTTTTAAATCAGTTTTCCACTAAGGAAAGAAAGAACCTTATTTTTCTTTGTTGAGCTATTGTGCTACTCTTATACCCTGATCTACCTATTGTAACTCAATTTTTTTTTCTATTAGTGGAAAGGAACACAGGCTGCTATTTGAACCTGGTTCAAAATATGAAAGCATTATAGTGTTACAGGAAGAATATAGTTACTGTACCATAAATTAGTTTCTGGGAATATGACACTGAAACAATTAAAATAACATGTAAAATAGTTCTTAAAATCCAATATTTCTGTGTTAGCTTTTTTCTTCTTCCCCCTTCGAGGAAATTATGCTCTCTCACAGCAATGGTTTTTGGAAGGAAAAAAAAAAAAAGATTATAATTTCTTCATTAAAGTTTGAACTGTTCTTTCTTTTCAGAATATCTAGCACTGAAGTTTAAGTCCACAGGCACCGTATGTGCTTTTATTCCTGGGCCAAACTCACATATCATTTTTTATTGTTACCAACATGTATGCATAATGGATGGCTACCAGATAGTCAAGACTCTTGTTTTTCTCATGTCATTGACAGATGTTTGCATAAAAATTCAACTAGGTTAACCTCACCACATTAGAAAAAAAAAAAAGTTTCAGTTTACAAGACATCATAAGCCATAAGCATCTCAGAATATATTCCTGCTTGTATTGAAACAAAACAGTACAGAGTTCTAAGGCTTGCACTTAAGTCTGAGTATGTCCGAAACACAAATCTTTTACCTCTTGCTGAATTACATGTATTTACTGTATCTAAGGATCAGAATGTCTTGTAACAGAAAAAGAAGAAAGGAAAACAGTTTTCATACAACAGCTAGAGGAATTATAAATTTAATTTCCTGCTGAATAAAGAACTTCTCCAGGTACCACAGGCAAATGGGCTTGGTTTGAACAATTTATCTGGGTTTAATAATTTGCTGAGTCATATATAGGGATTATTGGTGACTTCAATCATCATCCTCCAGTAATTATGCATGTTTTAAAATCAAGGATTCAAATGTGTTGCAGCAGTAAAGAAAAGTAAGAGAAAAGCTTTCCAGTGCTTAAACTAGTACTATTTTCAATTCACATCAATACAAGCACCAGAGATTTCTGTCTAACATTGACAGTGTTATTCTGTACTGCTGATCCATAAGTAGCTGAAATTTGGTCTTACTCTAGTGTATGATTTAGGGGTTACCCTCTCACCCACAGAGCTAGTATGTGGTCTTTTTTTTTTTTTTTTTTTTTTTTTTTTTTTTTTTTTTTTTTTTTTCTGTAGAACTCCCTTAGCATCCCACACTTCTCTGTTTGCCAGGCTTTCTCTTGCAGATTGTGAGGGCTTGAAAACACATGACTGCCAAAT